GATGATGGTGGTAATAATAATAATACTAAAGCACCCCAACTTTCACTTGGTGGGGTGCCGCTGTCAGCAGCCGCGCAGCTGACAGAAGCTCCAGACAGTTTAGGGCAAAGAGAGATCTGTAGGATATTTGAAATCCGTATCTGTTTTTGGCAGCATGTAGTTTTCTAAATCGTTAAACAAAAGCAGGAAGGTGTGTAAGGAAACGGCCCTTTTTTTTTTTTTTTTCTTTTCCTGCCCATATAAATAGTTCTAATCACGAGCTGCTTTTTAGAATTACAAAAAAAAGCACTTAAGTTAATCACGCACCTTCCTGCTCCTTTTCGCACAGCGATGGCTCTACAGGAGGGCGGCTGAATGAGCATCACGTCAATAAGCAAATATCCTCAATATATGACTCAGATCCCCCCTCGTAGCTGTCATTCACAGTGTCCATCCCAGATTCTGAAAAACTCTGCCTGGCACCGTCTCTGGAATAGCTCTGATTTCTGGCTGACGCCGTGTTCGCAGTCCTTCATCCGTAGCGTCGTTAACAGCTGTTGAGAGCGATTTCTCCAGCTGTTTTGGGAAGGTGGTGAGCAGCGTGTGGTGCGGTAGGGTCCTCGCACCAAAGGCTCTTCGCATCCTTCTGCCAAACGCGGGAACAGCCAAGGGATCAATGGTGTCTTCCTTCCGTTAATGTCAGTGGGAACAGGCGTAGGGTGTCAGCTGGTGTGAATCAGGTTGCAAAATTGAGACCTGGATGGGCTCTTTTGATTTATTTTTTTTTGATTTTTTTTTTACCTTAAAAAACTGCATCGTAGAACCACTGACCGTATTTAGTCTTTCTAAAATAGATGGAAAACTTGTGTTTGTGCGAGACTGCTCAGGGTTATCTGGAGCTTCCATGAAGAAATTGGATTTGGAGTTTGGAACATAAACCAATTACTTTTTTCCTGCCCCTTTTGTAGCCTTAAGATTTTGGCTAAACATCAGGCTTAATCATAGAAATTCAATTGTAGCTTTCGTTATAGTGGAACCACTGTCGTTCTGGATTAAGAAGTTTCTCTACTTGTCAGAAAATTGCAACAGTAAAGCAGCAGCCTTAGCCAAAGTAAGCAACAGCTTCTTGGAAAAAAAACAAAACCCTCTTTACCTTCCTTGTGTCTTCTCATGAGACAAGATCAGACTTTGACAGTTTTCACTGCATCCTCCTAAGATGCTTTAACTGTCCCGTTTGTTTGTGGCTAGAAAATGTTCTGTATGTATACACTGTGTTTCTTAACTGCAGGAAGTAAGTCTCTTTTTTTCTTTTTAATGCCTTTTCTTTTCCCCCTCTGTCTGGACATCGTGGTTCCATCTGCGGGGATCGCTCCTCTGTTCTGTTCTCCTGGAGCCTCCATTCTGGAACGCCTCCCTGTACACCTCAGTTTCCCTCGGCTTTCTTTCTCCTGCTGCTCAAAACCTTCCCAAGCAGTAGTGCGATTCACTGGAAACAGTCACTTCATATTAACAAACTAAAGGAGCAGCAATAACGCACATGAATAACACCATGTGGATAACAGAAGCGCGCTTGATTGCGGCGCTCGGTGCAGGGCCAAAGCCCTGTAAAGCTTCCCTTTCTTCTTGTTCTTCTGGAGATAACGGAATTGCTTATTTTTAAAACCGTGCTTGAAATGTTCTGTCTGTATTCTGTAGTTAATACTCGGGATGACTGACATTGAAGTGAGAGATGAACAGCCTGTCACTCGCGAGGTCGGCTTTCTTTGTTTCCCCTGTGTGAGCAGCGAGCGGACTTCTTCTCGGATGTGAGCACGGAGAGAGGGGGCGACTCTTTAAACCGTGACCGCGCGCCATGGCCAAGTCAGGCAGGGACAGGTGCAGTTCACTGGCTGGATTTCAGGCTGTGTTTGCCATCACTGTTGTTGATTTATTTATTTTATGCCTTCTAGTAGTGCCTGGGTTAATTTTACATCGGCGTTTTGGCCGGTGACGGAGGAGGCCATCAAGGGCTTTTCCGTGTCTCACTTGTAAGCGTGGTGTGAGCAGTTCAGAACGTGGAAGTGTGGGGGGTCACTGGGGCCTCCCCTTTGTCTTTTTGGAGTGTTCAGATTGGGGAAAAGGATTGTTCTCTCTCTTGTGAAAAGTAAAGAAAGCAAGTGTGACTCCTTGTATCCACTGGTGGTTTATTTGTAGAATTTCCTTGTGATTTTTCCTTTCAAGAAGATAAATTATTTCATGTTCTAACAGTAAGAATTATTTCAGATTTCTTTTCATTGGACTGTTTTGTGTGCTGATTTTTATAAAAGCTACAGTAAGATTGAGGTTGTTCATATGTCTGGCAAATATCACACCCTGTATCTGTGAGGGGGAGAGATTGAGGAGCTGTTAAGATTAATTATTGAAGCACAGCTACAATTAAGGATGAGTAGTCCGGAAGTCCTCCAGTAAAATAATCGCTGACGTTCTTCTTTTCATTAGTAATGTGTTGTGTATTCACAAGCTGGCATCTTGGTGTTGGTTTCAGCTCAGAGACTCTTCTTCCCAGGAGTTTTCTCCAGCCTGTCACACGCGTAGATCCGCAGAGTGTATTTTACGAGCGTACCGAGTTGCTTTGCTGTAAGTGTCTGCAGATGGCAAAAGCCAAAGACAGTATAATCGTGACGTCTGAGCCTGTCTGACTTCTCCAAGCTATGGGTTATGATTAGGAATAGTGACTTTTTGCAGCAATGGAGTATTATGACAGTGAATCGGTACAGTGATGGATGCACCTATTGCTGTCCTCAACTCCTTCAGCGTTAATCAATTCCTATAGATGAGGAAGTCTTCCTTTCCGGTTGCTTCTCTCTAATTATGAGCATGCAGAAATAAACCAGGTAACCGTAGGAAATCTCAGCTTCACATGATAAGACTCGAGGAAAGAGAAACATTTAATGGATAATTTGAGATGTTGAGGTCTCTGCTTCTCTCAGTTTACATTTTATGGGAGTGCCTCTAATAGTTCATTCAAAGTTTTGTTTCTTTGCCAAATTGGAAGGCTGTAGATACATAGAGAAAAACTAGTTACACGATGCAATTCAGTTACAGTTAGGGCTATATAAAGAAATAGAAATGTTTGCCTAGGAGAAACCTGCTAAAAAAGTTTGTAGGAGCTGTTTGACGTAGTTGCTGAAGCGCGTGGTGAGCTGTAATTTTTGCAGGCTCTCACAAATACTTCTATCTTTCCCTCCCCAGTACGAACTTCATTTGGTCCCAGATTCTTGACAGATCATTCAACTTTTCGCTGATGTGATGGACGTGATGTGGGTAATTGTGTTTAGTCAGACTCCGGGCCCATTAATCCAGCTTGGGAAACGAGAATTGCCAAATTACCCCAGCGCGCTCTCGCCGCGTGGCTGCTGAGCGATGTGTTTCTGGGCCAAGGAATTTTTAGTTGCAGCCAAAGGTCAGAGGTGCAGTGGGTGTGCGTTACTCCGAGGTAAACAGGAGCGTAGCACAGGGTGCTTTTGTAATGTCCATGATGACTGGTGGGGTGAGGGCTCCAGTTGCACCACATTCCTCCGGCTCACGCGTGGCCTCTGGCTTTTACGCCGAGCACCTGTGTTTGGTTTGGGTTTGGTTTGGAAGGAAAACAGGTAGTTTTGGTGGACTACGAAGGCAGCAGCCAGTAGTTTTGTTGTTGTTTTAATGCTAATGTCATCTGGATGGGTGATTACACACTTTCCAAACTCAAAGTTAGTCTCCAAGCTTTCAGATTTCAGCACTTCAAGGACAAAAATGAAGCGCTTATTTTGAAGTTTTACCTGAAATCAAACTCATGGAGTTGAGCAGAGAGAGAGAGAGAGAGGCCCAAGATCCATCCTGTCAAGACTTAGTGTATAATTCTTTCTAATTAAAGCTTAGCTATTCCTGAAATAAGGGACTTGGTGGGTTTTACATGAAATATTAGACCTCTGTTAGGATGAAATTGTTAATTCTACATGTTCCAGAGGGAAATTAATGAATTGTTTTTCCATACATGGACTTCACCCAAGATGCGCTTTTGAGGTGTGATGCAGGATGGTGCTGTAACATGCCAAGCACAAAGAAAAGTTGGGAAGCCATATGCTGGCAGAAAACAAAGCACGTTTGCTATTTTTTTATGCCATCTAAATCTCTTGTCTGTCTCTCTTGCTGTTTGCTCTTGCTGTTAGCTTCATCGCTTCATGCTTCATTGTAATTTCTCAACATGCGCCGTTCATATGCTGTTTTCTGTAAATGGATTTCTCAATACATTGTGGAACATCGACAGGAGCAGGACATGGCTGCTGCGTATTCAAAGGGTGAAAACACAGGATGATGAATCCTAGAAAAATTCCCTTCTGCTCAGTTCTTTGCAGTTCCCATGCCTCAGCCATCCGGTGAAGCTGAACTCAAGCAGACGTTTGGGTCATGGACTTGTGATGGCTACAAGTGCCTGGTAGAAATAAGCAGAAGACAATGCAACTTTGTGCTGTTACTAATACAGGAAAGATTTGGATGTTGAGAGAGTGCTGTCCTGTTTGGACCCAGTAAAGAGTAAAGTGCGAGACACTTGTACATTAGAAGGGAGAAAATGCAGTGCATAGTGTATGAAAACCATCACAGCTTGTGAAATAACACAGTTCAGACTCACTGCAGTGCCTGAGACGATGCTGTTAACTTCTCCAGTGACTAAAGGTTTTTAGAGTACTATGTGTTTTTCTTCATACGCAAAATATTGATATTGCTAAGCTATAAGTCTTCTAGAAATAGCAAGTAATTTGCTTACAAGTTTGATAATATGACAAGCTGACGTTTCCTCAGCTTAGAGGTTCTGTTGCAATTCCTATGAGACACATGCTCTAGAATTCTGCAAGAGCTTTATACATTTAGCCATTACTTCCAAAGATTAAGGCAGATAGTTGAGGTTTAAAGACTCCCACAAGCTTCAGTCTTTACTGTTTCAGACAACTTACAATGCCATATTGTGCAAAATATCAATAAAAACATTTAATCTCTTCCAGGTTTTCCGACAAGAAAGAAAGGCTGATGCATCTTAAAACCAAACAGAGAGAATTCCAAAACCAGTAAGTTGTAGTTATTAAATGAAAATAAACTATAAGAACTCTCAGAAAAACAAAACAGTCTCTCTAACACACTGTTGCTGGAGACAGACGTAGTCCAGATAGTCATAAAACTTTCAATCATGTTTTTTCCTCTAGTGTTTTGAAGGCCATGGAAGGGAAAGGGATAACTGATCAGCTGGTGAGTTGTTCAAAGTGTCCCATAGTTTCTCAACTCTCAATTCCTAGATCTCATAGTTTAAAGTTACGATTTACCTTGAGGGCATTGTGTTGCTTTCCCAAAAAAGCCTGTTGTAAACAAAATGGAAACTGGCTCTGCAAGCAGAGTGCTCCAAATCATCAATATTTTTAATTTCTTACTAGATATTTGTTCAATAACTTGTTATACTGATTGACTTTATACTATGCGTTCGGTTTGTTTGTGGCATTCTTCTGTGCACAGAACAGTATATGAAATATTTATTTGTTCATCTGATCCAATTAAGAACATCCTGCTACTTCTGCACTAAAGCTGCTGGCTTTGTTGTTAATCATTAGTCAGTGTGTTTGAAGTCGTTTGTGCCCTAGAGTTGCTGAATGTTCTTTTTCAGAGATGGAAAATAATGTCTTGCAAGATGAGGATTGAGCAGCTGAAACAGACCATTTGCAAAGAAAATGATGAAATGACAAGACGTGAGTAACGCTGGTGCTTTTGTGATGTGTAAAACTCTGTGCCTTACAGTGAAAAATCAATCGATGTGAATCTGAGTGTTAGTTTTCAAAAAACGGTGAATTTCCAAACCTTCACTTCTTAAATCAGCTTGAAAGCAAATCGGTGAGTGGATTTTAGCCTTTGAATGCTTGGGTTTTAATTAGCAAACAGTAGACATTGTTCAGCTGGATGGACATCACTTTGCAACAGCTTTAAAAGTAAATGCTTAGCAGCTGATGACTTTGGCTTTGTCCCTAGAGATGGCTTTATTCAGTGTCGTGTTTCTGATCGCTTCCTCGTGATAGAGAGGAGCAAACAGCTCTGCAGCTGTTACCAATTTCATGTAACTGATGAATTTTAACCCACACCTGCCTAGAAATCCTAAAATCCTACTTGAGCAAGACTCACTAAAACATAGCATAGGCTGGTGAGTTGCTACCGTTCGGCAGCTTCGGTTTTGAAACTCATTAAATATTTTACACATGAGAGATTTGTAGGGTCATTTTTCAGACAGGAATGGCAGCACTCCTTACAACCTGTGTGCAAAGGAAAGGGGAAGCATTTTTAGAAGAATATTGATTGATTTGGAAACATTCTTATGACGTGGAATTCAAGAGGAGCCATACAGAGAGTGGAAGCACAGGCATATGCTTGAGTTTAGTTATAAAGGAATGGCACAAGCTTGCAGTGATAACATCAAAAAGGCTCAGATGCAAAATGATTTTCAGTTAATAAGGAGAATGGATCGTTATGATAAGAAATGTATAATAAGAAAAAGATGAAGGAGTAGACAAGCCTGTTAATTAACAGGAAAGAGAGTGAATAACAGCGCAGAGAAATCTGAAGTATTCAGTGCCGCCTTTGCTTCGTCTTCTCACAAAGAAAACGTGATCAGCTGCTTAGCCTGATTAAATTTTACATCACGAGAGGACTGCAGGCTAAGGAAGGAAACAGCCAGCTAAATATTATTTTGATTATGTCAGCAAGGCCTTACGAGATTCACCCTAGAGAACTTAAGGAACAAGCTGAAGTAGTCTCTGGAGTACTTGAGAACACATGAGGGAGAGAGGATGTCCCAGGAAACAGAGCGAAACCAGCATCTGTTTTCAAAGGGTGGAGGAAGAACTGATGACACAGTCATCCTATTATAAACCTCTGACCACTTTCTAGGTAGTCAGAAGGTAAGGTAATTAAAAATAGGCATCGCTTTGTTAAGAATAGGCCACGTCAAGTCAACCCCTTGTCTGGAGATCAGGTGGTCTAGTGGAGGAGAAAGATGGGAAGTAAGATGGAAAGATAGAAAGTGCCATTGAGCACTACCCCCAGACTATCTCATGAGCTACCAAAGATGTTTGCTCAGGATGTAATCATTGTAAGGTTGGCACAAAAGGCTACGTTCAAAGGGTGGTGATACTTGTCAAACTGAGGAGGTGAGACAGGTGGAGCCCAGCAGGAACCGGTTCCTGGTCCAGTTTTGTTCAGTGTTTTCCATAATAGCTTGCATGGTAGAATAGAAGGTGAAATGGAGGAAGCTAAGGTGGATGCTGTGGAGAGCAGGATCAAATTCAAACTCATGCAGATAAATTGACAGTATCATCTGAAAACAACAAAGCGGAGAGCACATTGTTTAGGAAAGAAAAACATATAAACCCAAATTAGGGGATGGTGGTGAGATCTCACAGGAAATGATCTGGAGAATTGTAAATTAAATAAAAAAATGCAATCTAATGCTGTTCTGGAAAGGTTCAGACCTTTTTCTGGGTTATAGTAATATTATATTTAAGATGGAAGCAACTGTCCTGCTGTTCCTGGCGTTGGTGTTACCTCAGTGGAAGTCTGGAGTCCAATTTGAGGAATTTAAGAAAGATACGAATTAACTAGAGAAAGTCCAGAGGAGAATATTAGGAATAAAACACAAGGAATAGCTGAGAAGATTCATGTTTGATTTGGTTTAGAGAAGAGGAAGGTGAAGAAAACAAGCTTTTCAGTAGGTAGAAGATCATTATGAAGGAGTTAATAACTACTTGTTTTGTTTAGCCAGTGAAGAAAGGGGAAGAGGAAATCAGTGTGACTTTGAGGAACATAGAATCATAGAATCGTCTGGTTGGAAGAGACCTTGAAGATCATCGAGTCCAACCATTCACCCTGCACTGTCAGGGTCCCTAAACCATGTTGCTCAACACCAAATCCACACGGTTTTTAAACACCTCCAGGGATGGGGACTCCACCACCTCCCTGGGCAGCCTGTTCCAATACTTCACAACCCTCTCTGGAAAGAAATTCTTCCTGATATCTAAGCTTAAGTCACCTTTTCTCAAAATGCCGCTCCGAAGGTGGCAAAATGTTAGGAGCAACTCGGGAGGGTAGTTCCTCTCCCTTTCTTATGTTCTCTGAAGTGCATTATCTGCAGCTTTTGCAACTTCTTTGATTCAAAGTGAAATTGATGAGATTTAACCCATCAACTGACCTAACTATTGCCCAAGCAACCTGTTGTTAGCTCAGTTACCCCAAAACTGCTCTTGCAGGTAGACCCAACATGAACTCTTGCCATGGGTAGCCAATAGATCAAGAACTCAACTTGGTTCACTCTTGGACCACATTAGAAAATGCAAATAAGTTGTTTCTCTTCTCTTGGATATGGCATCGTTTAGTTTTCTGAAATAAGAACAATTTCTAGAACATGGGGCTCCTGCTTTTGCAGTTGACTGAATACCTCAATAATGGGTGCTTCTTAAAATGAGATTTTAAAATACGTGTGTTTGCCTTCTGTCTGTGGAGAACAGTTCAAGGAGACAATCTGCAAATATCTGTTACAGCCCTCTGGACAGAGATCGGTGTGCCTGTGCTTGCATTTGTCAGGCAATGTAGATGTGTGGGACACAGCAATGTCCGGAAATGTTTCTGGGGACAAATTCTAATCGCCTTGTAAAGCCAGAGGTCCTATGCCAAAAAAAAAAGACAATTGTTCCTGCACTGGGGCTGCTAAACAGGAAGCGCGTGTGCAGTTTTTTCCTCCTGCTTCTCAGTTAATTGCTGTTGGACCTACAGAAAAGAGAGTTCACTCTGTGAAAAAGTAACCTTTCAAGTACAACATGAATGTGAAAATTGAACAGATGGACGTTTTACTCCTCCTCTGTCTCTTCTTCATTATGCAAGGGGAGAGTTTGGGAATATGAATGCAAGTGTTAATTGATTTTCTGTAGATGTTACAGGAATGCTTGAAACTGAATTACTAGCTGACACACAGGGATTCTTGGTATTGCTCAGAGAAAAGTCAGTTTTTCTATGGTTTCTGTAATGGTCACCTGTTTTATAAATCTGAGGATTATTAGTCCTTATCTGCACAGGGGAGCTATTCTCACCTTCTTTATTTTGGGACTTTGTATCTCCTTTGTATCAGATATTTCTTCCTACCAAACACATCATGGATCACAACAGATCAGTTAAATGACTAGAAATAATTCCTGACTTTCAAGAAAGCTGGAGAGGAGCTTTGGACAAGGGCATGTAGTGACAGGACAAGGGGCAATGGCTTTAAGCTGAAAGATGGTGGCTTTCAATAGGATCTAAGGAAGAACTTCTTCCCTCTGAGGGTGATGAGGCACTGGAACAGGTTGCCCAGAGAAGCTGTGGCTGCCCCATCCCTGGAAGTGTTCAAGGCCAGGTTGGGTGAGGCTTTGGGCAACCTGGTGTAGTGGAGGGTGTCCCTGCCCATGGCAGGGTTGTTGGAACTAGATGATCTTTGAGATCCCTTCCAACCCAAATGATTCTGTGAACACTCTGTGTCTGTGGGGCAGGCATACTCCGAGGGGTACCAGCAGTTCAGCTCTCCCACCCTGCCAGACTGGGGATCAGACAGAGATCTGTGCAGTTCCAACTCTGCAGGTGGAAACCAGGACTAGCAGGAGAGTATCGTGTACTGGCCAAGCATTGCCGGGTACAGACTTGGTCTTGGGTCCTGTTCTTCGGACCAAGCCTGTAATTTTTATGCTCCCATATTGGGAAGACAGACAGTCTGAGTGTGTCGTATCAGTAAGATGATGTCAGGTATAGTGCTTCCCTTCCGTGCAGGGGACAGTTATCCCACTTCCTGATTACGGGAAAGTGATGCCTTATGGTAAGAGAACCTGACTGACACTGTCTCTTCTCAGCCATAAAAACAAAGTGAGTAGATGGGGGCTCTCGTTCAAACTAGGGTGCTTTAAAGAGTTTTAGACTTGTGTTTGGAGAGTGTGTACGAGAAATATTTTCCTGTGCTTTTGAAAGACAGAGGTGGCTAACTCTCTCTAGCACCATATGTTTGTGGAAAAATCATTGATTTTATAGGAGAATCAGCAGATGTTCTTGAAGGATATTTTTCCAAGCTTCAGTGTGCCTGACGCATGGAGTAGATTCGGGCGGTTGCAGCACTTCAGTGCATAAGCGCATTTCTCATTTTGTAGCTGGGAAGGGAGACAGTCAGTGTTCCCTTGTGGCAACAAGAAGTCTGCACCGTTGGCATCCAAGTGCTTTAAGAGTACGTAGATGAGTGCGAAACCCAAATAACGTACGCTAATAGCAGTGGCGGTGCCAGAAATGGTGAATGAAGATGCTGTCTGCTCTTGATTTGGCTGCAAGCAATGTGTGTCTCTTTGGCCAGCACCATGCAAACAAGTACAGTCAAGCTATTTCTGTCATGATGATTACCTCAGAAGTTTAATTAAACTGTGAAATCTTGGCTTTTCTGCTCCACATCCAAAACCAGTTGAGTAAAAGGTAGGGAAATTTAATCCCAATTTCAGTCTCTTTAGAGATCTTCAGAAGAGGTTAAGAAGTTGTGCCACTTAGCAGCTGGAAAACGTTAAGAGTTTAGCAGGGTCTTCTGTTTTAAGCTGCTATAGATCTTGTTTTCTATAAATATTGATAATGCTTTTCTCAAGCTTACTACAAGTACCTCGCAGCTCCTTTTCCAAGGCTTAACATCCGCTGCCATTTTTGCAGATGCGGAAGGGCTTCTGAGAATTAAAGAGGAGAACCAGAAGCATTATCGCAGGGCTCAACGGCATCAGGAGAAGAAAGAGAAGATCCAGAGGCATAACCGCAAGCTGGGAGACTTGGTAGAGAAAAAAACCTGTGACTTGAAAACCCAGTATGAGCATCTGGCAAAACTGCGTCGGACGCGTATCCTGGAGCTAACATCAGTCATATTTCCCATTGAAGAAGTAAAGACAAGCATGAGGTACGGAAGGCTTATGCTTTTGGACTCGTTTTGCTTAGCTTTAGACACCCAGAAGTGAGTCATGTAAGTCTAAGCTAGATGCTCTGGCTCCGTTAGCATCTGTGGGGAGAAGGAGGTGTTTCCCAAAGGCAAAGCATCTGACTCAAAGATAGAGGTTCAGAATAGAAGAATCTGGAGGTGCTATCATCTCCCCACTGAGAGATCTGAGGGATGTGTCCAGTGTTAAACTTTCTTAAAATAGGTGATTAAAAATCTCAGAACAAAGGAAAGTGGTTTGGGAATGAGGAATTCTGCAGGAGTGTGTCTACAAGCGTTTTGTTCTGTGTGAAATCTGGCTAAGTGCCTGCCAAGTACATCTCTGATAATATTTTTAAAACTTCTTTAAAACCACTCTGTTCCTCTTTGAACGCTACAGAGATCCTGCAGATGTGTCTTCTGAGAGTGACAATGCTATGACCTCTAGCACTGTGAGCAAGCTCGCGGAAGCCAGGAGAACCACGTATCTCTCTGGGAGATGGGTGTGTGATGATCATAATGGGGACACCAGCATCAGTATCACAGGACCTTGGATAACCCTTCCTAATAACGGAGACTACTCAGCCTATTACAACTGGGTGGAAGAGAAGAAGACTACACAAGGACCAGGTAAGGAGTAAGGTCTGATTAGGCATCTGGGATACTCCAGAAGCCATAGAACTTGCAGCCTTGGATACCAGCGGAAGGCACTAAGGAGCAGTAGCCTGGTCCGTTTGCTCTCACCCAGACAAACCTGAAGCAGAAATAAATACCAGTATAGGGATTAGTCCACTGAAATCCTCTCTTTTGCAGGAAATGCTCACTGGGACGCAGCACAATGTAATAGAGAGATAAAGTGAATTATTCACAGTTTTGACATCGTTCACATGCCATCGTTTTAACAGAAATTCCAAGAATTACTATTTTCTACCAGCTTCTGACAGATTTCACCGTAAATGATTGCGGGATTCAGGCTGCTCTCAATACTTAAAAATGTCATTTTTCCAGAGTAGACTTCTGTAACACATTAACACACCCACTGAGGCTTCGTTTAAAATGAGACTTTCCTGATGTTTTTATTTCTTTTAGATATGGAACACAACAACCCTGCTTACACCATCAGTGCTGCATTGTGCTATGCAACTCAGCTTGTTAACACTTTGTCTCTCATACTTGATGTGAATCTTCCCAAGAAGCTCTGCAACAGGCAAGTAAACGCAAGCCTCCGAGGAGGTGAATCCGTGGCCAGTTTTGACTGATCTTAATTCCATTTGGTTTTGTGAACAAAGTCATTACTTGGAACAGCTTTTATGGTAACAGTTGATGGCTCGTGGATTTTTGTGCTGTTTAATTTTGGGTGGAGGGGTAGTAGGATTTTAGACCACAGTTTAATAGTCTCTCCCTCCTTTTTTAGCTCCTGAGACTGTAGACCAACCATCACAGTTGAAAAGAACAACTTTCTAATTGACCTATTCAGCACCCTCAAATGAAAAATGAAATATAACAGTCCACGATTAGCACTTTTCATTTTATGAGACCCTACTGTGCTTTACAAAATCCCAGCCCAATTCAGCAACTCTTGGTCATCTTGAAGAGCTCCACTACGTTAAGTGCTGTAGAACAATGCCTTGTAATATGGCATGACAGTGATGTAATTTTCTTAGGATAGAACACCAATGGGGAACGTGCCTGGCTGCCAGACGTCTGGAAGTGTATTGCATAAACCCCATTTGTGATGAAAAGCACTGTTAGGTTTTTAATGTCTCTGTGGAACAGATGAGATCTGTACAGAAGAAGTACCGAGGAAGCTGTAGACCTGGTTAGGCTTCCAGAGGTCTCAAATATGAGATTCTTTTAAGTGTTTAAAATAGTGGTTGCCAAAATGAGGGCACAAAAGTTGTGTAGAGCCTCTGCAGGTTTTTTTATACTATTATTTGGGTGCTCAGCCTTCACAGAAGGAAAAGGTTGGGAACAGGAAATGATGCAAGATTTAAAAGGGGAGCTGAAATAGCTTGGCTGCAGTGCTCTTTGAATTTCAGACAGTTTGCATCACCTGTCCTGTTGACACCAGTGAGACTAGGGCAGTTGGAGCTTGTTGATGAAGTGGTCACAGTCTTGCAAGGTGAAAAATGAATCTCCTGAGCCCTCTAAAACTGGCTGTACCGTTTAAACGAGTGCTCGCTGTGAGGGTGTTTCCTCCGGGATTTGTTAGGAAGCCAGGGCACAGGATGCTGATGTCTCCAGGAAGTGTATTTTCTCAGCAGTTTGCTTTGTGTATATATATGTGTGTTTGTGGTGTTTCAACAGTGAGTTCTGTGGAGAGAATCTCAGCAGACACAGGTTCACGCGGGCAGTGAAGAAGCTGAATGCTAATATCCTTCACCTTTGCTTCTCTCAGGTAGGGGCAATGCACATTTGGGTTCTTTGAATAGCTTTAAAAATATTAGCTGTGCCTGCAGGTTTCCTCCAGTAACTGACTGTGTCTTTTTCTTACTTTCCCCGTGGTAGCATGTAAATTTAGATCTGCTGCACCCACTGCATACGCTCAGGAACCTTATGTACCTGGTCAGCCCGGACACTGAGAACTTGGGCAGGTAAGAAAAGCAGTGTCTCAACTCACCTGTGACTGAATCCCTTTTGAAGTTACGCATTTGCCTTGTTAGTGATCAGGGAAGTTCTTCTCTTCTGCTGTACCTATAGATCAGTCCTCAGCACATCAGAGATCAGGGTAGTTACAAGGAGGAGACAGGAGAGGATGGAACAAGAGGGTCCTGAGTAGGAAACTAGATTTCAGAGATGTGTGTGTGCTGTGCTTCTGTGTGTGGTGGGCTCAGCTGGAGGCTTTGTAGCTCATTATGGACTTGTTTCCCCTATGCCCAGAAGCAGGAACTGCTTCCCTCCAGGGGACAGCAGTACATATGCCAGGCAGTCTGCCTGTGCTCCAAATATGACCCTACCCACATCTCGCCAGCATGTAAATACCTGAGAGCATCCAGCAAAATAAACCCTAAACAAAATACTAGGTAAAGCTTTTCCAAAATATTTCCAGTCAATGAACACTGTAGATCAATGTTGACACTTGAAATAATATTAGCTTCTATGTAAATCAAGATTAAAAACTTTTCTGTTAACTTAATACGTGATGAGAAGAACATCAGTTCCTCTGGGCTGCATGCACCAGTTTTAATAATCTTCCCCCACCCCCCCTTTTTTTTTTTTACAGCTTAAATATAAGAAAGCCAACAACATTGATTTCCTGTTGGGATAATCCAGTCACAAGTCAAAGTGACTTGTGCCTGAGACAGTGCAAATATTTGTTTAATCTGACTGCTGCTTTATTCTCCCTTAAACACAGTAATGTTTTGAAATCGACTTTTCCACTTCGTTCTCATGTACAGATCTAGTTTTATTTAAAAACCTGCAGTGCCACTGAGAGGACCTGAAGGCATGTCTCTACCCACTTAACCTTACATTCTCTGGGTATATCCCTACTGATTCAGCCCAAAGATACGGGGAGCCAAATCTTTGTAACATAGCTCATTTTGGAAAAAATGATGTGCTTGCTGCTGCTTGCCTAAAAACCAGGAGAGTGCAGGAAATACCCAGAGAACGAACAGCTGCGACCTGGAAAGCAGCTGCTGTAAAAGAGCCGAGTGCCACAGTGGACAAAAAGCTAAGCCTGATAGATCTTCACGATGTGAAGTAAAAGTGCTGAGCAGAGAGATGGGTCTCTCTTCTCTGTGCAAATGTTACAGAGCTCCACACGCATTAATCAGGTCCACGTAGTAAAAGGAAAGGTTCCAGGAAGGAGTCGGGGAAAATACCTACCAGTGAGGGGAATAGTTTAGTCTGTATAAAACTGTTTTAGCTCCCTGGAGATGACCCGATTTCCACATCTTCATGGGGAGAAAATACAAGCTACTTGAATGGCTTTGCAGACACAATACGAAGCAGAGTCTGAGCTAGGTTGAAACGAGGCGCGTGCGCTTAGCAGTTTAATTACCTGCAAGAATGAAGGTGGGGATTCTCTGCTTCCCTGTGTCGTCCTGTCAGGGCTGGATGAGCTGCTGGAATAGATGCTTTCATCAGGCAGAAGTTCCTGGGCTCAGGACGGGGGGAACAGGTGGAACGTAATGGCCCTTGTTACAGAGGAGGTCGCTGGAGATGATCTAATGGTCCCTTCTGGCCTTAAACCTGATGACTCTCTTCTTGTGTTGCCTCGTTAAGCGAAATGCTTTGCCAGAAGGCAGCGCTCTCATTCCTTTCTCGATTATGAAAGAGGAGCATTTACCTTTAATTTCTCAGCTGTCTGCAAAGTTTGCAGCAGCCAGCTCTCCTTATTTTCCTTTGGATATCTAGGCCTGTAGTTGCCTGATAGTCTCCTTTGTAAGCTACTGTTTTCAGACACATAAAATTTTACTAAGCTTTAATTGTTTGGATTAAAATTTTCCATGCTAAATCGCTGCTTCAGGCTCCTTCTCCCACTAAAGCTGGAGAAACACTTTTAACCATGTTCAATTCTTGCTCCTGTTTCACTGAGCAGCTTTTTGCTTTGGAGTGAACTTTGGCAGGGACACTGCTTGCTGTGGGGAATCCACCTTTCACCACCTCCATGAAAACCTACTGGTCTCTGACCGTGGGTCACAGGCTTCTGAAACCACCTGCTTTGGCTCAGGAAAGATATTTTGGATTTTGGCTGCCCGTACTCTAGTGCAAAGCAGCGGGATGCAATTGCTTCTCCCACCAGGCAGTGGCAGCAGGGAACTCGTAGTCACAGTGGAGGTGGTTTCAGCCAGGACCTCTGGAGATCCAGCCGGTCACCCCACTCAAAGCAGAGCCAACTGGAGCAGGTTACTCAGGACTGTGGCTAGCGAGGCTTTGAGTATCTGCAGTGATGGAGACTCCACAGCCTCTTTGGGCAACCTGTTCCAGTGTTTGACCAGCCTTACAGTAAAAAAGATCTTGAGATGTTGCTCAGGCTGAAGTGCTGCTGTGGGAGAAGTCTCCACTAGTGAGCTGTGCCAACCCAGTTCTGTTAAGTCGTAGACTACGCCCTTCCCCTCGCTGGCAGAGCTGCTGCCGTCTTGGCCTGGCCAGGGCCAGTGTTAAAAATAAAAGCTGTTCCACATCGAGCAGAGATTTCCACTGGTGGAGCTGTGAGTTATTATCAATAGCTTTGGCTTTTGTGTGCGTGTTTTACTATCCGCTGCCGAAGCAGAACAGCTCTTCCGCCGTTCCTGCTCCGTGGATTGGAACTGAGCGATCGCTTCCTTGGCCGACTGTTTTCGTCAAACTGTGGTCATAACACAGTTATCTCTGCAGCCAGTGAGTTTCTCTCTGCCAACTGATAAACACAGAGGTGTTTTAATTTCTCTGCTGTGCGCATGCCAGAGCGGGGTGCTTTGGCACGCCTCGGGCTCGTACCATAGAATCACAGAATGGTTTGGGTTGGAAGGGACCTCAAAGATCATCTAGTTCCAACCCCCCCTGCCATGGGCAGGGACACCTTCCACTACACTAGGTTGCTCAAAGCCTCATCCAACCATCCTTCCAGGGATGGGGCAGCCACAACTTCTCTGGGCAAAATGTTCCAGTGCCTCACCACCCTCTGAGTGAAAATTTCTTCCTTATATCTAACCTAAATCTCCCCTCTTTCAGTTTAAGGCCATTGCCCCTTGTCCTATCACTACATGCCCTTGTACCAGCAAAGTGGTGGTACAGTCCCTCTCCTGGGTGGCACCAAACAGGCTGACAGCATCGTGTCCGTGTTCGCAGGTCTGGCCCTTTCGAAATTAGCGCTGATCTTGAAGACTCCATGGAGTTTGTGGATCCCAGTGCCACCGGCGAAACAGATGAGAGCGGAGATGAGCACGTCAGTGATGAAGAGACAGACCTAGGGACAGACTGGGAGAATCTGCCCAGCCCCAGGTTCTGCGATATCCCCTCTCAGCAGGTGGAGATGCTGCAGAGCCAGAGCACGCAGGTCTCCCAGCCCATCGCCAGCAGCAGCGCTGGTGGAATGATCTCGTCCGCTGCTGCCTCGGTGACCTCGTGGCTGAAGGCATACACTGGACATCGCTAACGAGCGTGGGAAAAGGATTGTAGGATTTGTGGAAGGAATCCCTCCCCGACAATGCTGTAGTAAACCTTACATATTCAGTTAAGTAGTGCCTGGAACAAAGAAAAGGTCAGACTTTCATTTTGTAAACCAGAAAAACCTTTTTATTTACCCAAGATGACTGTGATGCTACCATTTTGTAAATTAGCTAGCTACGTACTTCTGACGGATCCTGTGATGGCACTTTGTGTCTCCGTTCTGTCTGCGTTGTTGAGTATTGAAAAAAAAGGACCTGGCAGCCTGCAGCTCTACTTTCTGAAGACGAAACAGATTTTGGAGCATTTGGATCGGGACAAGAACAGAGGGAAGGCTGCTCAGTGTGCAGTCTGGACAGTGGTGCAAATGCAGTTCACATTTTCTTAACTCCTTCCAGGGTTTTCGTTAGTGTGTGTTTTAAATCTGTCTTGCATAATGCAAAAATGCGTATTTCTAAATTTTTTTCATCCAGGACATGAAAATTATGCGTTTTTAACATGTTTTCTAATCTCTGTTGCCATATTTTTAATACAAAGAATCAGCATGGACAGGAAGTCACACAGCAGATTGCTCTTGTTTTAGATTTGGTTGTGAATCTTTATCCAGTTTTGCTGTAGAAAACTGGCTTGTTTCATGCTGCTTCCACCAGTAGGTAGTCTAGAAGTTTTGTGTTGTGCTGTCCAAAGCACACAGGCTCTTTACTCTGAATATCATACACCAAAGAAACACTGGACGTTCTCTTAGCTAGACCCACATTTGGCGCCGATACAGGATTGCGTTGTTGCAATAATACTCATCAGTTGTAACACCACGTTGCCACTTTTTAATGTTAGAAAAACCTCATTTCAAGCTAGTTTAATGAAGTCACGCCGTCTCCACACTACATGCGTCTTTAAACCCTGCGTCTGTTTTATGTTTATGGTAGGGTTGGGGTTTTTTTTTTCGTTTTCTTGTTTACTGAATGCCAAGAAGTTGATTTGGTTTCCCTGCAGAAATGCTGACAGCGCGGCCGGCTCGCTTGTAAAACGGCAGGAGGTGCGACGCCGACAGACGCCCTGGTTAGCAAGTGCCCCTCCTCTTCCTCTGCCTTGCGGTGCGTAGTACGTAAAGATGGGTTTGCTCAGCGAGGCTTCCAATGTATGGTTTACATTTTCATATAGTTGGGACATTGTGCTTCTCCACGGGGTAAACTCACATAAAAGCATCCGCCCATCCCTCCAAGAAGGATTTCTGTAGCTTCCCCGTGGTGACGGGGGCACGGCGAGGCTGCAGGGAGGGACACCCAAACCACATCCCTGCTGTCAGGCAGCATCCTGTGTGTGTGTGTCAAGTCCCAGCTCCGGGGCTGCCTTACCCGGCCATCTCATGGAATGTTTTGTGGTGGTTTTGCTCCGTTCTCTCCAGGCCAGCCAGTGCTGCCTCCTGTCTCCACCAAGGAGCGGGTGGAAAAGCAGTTCTGGTACTCATGTACCCCCCTGAGCTCCACACCAGGGGTACTGGCTGAGTATCGTGTCTCCCAGCCCTCCGCCCTCTCCTGCAGCAGCTCTTTCTCTTTGGCCTTGGGGATGGGCGTCTCTTTGTCAGTAGTTTCTTTTATTTTTATTTTTTTTTTAAACCAAAGACCCTTAACTCCACGCTAACAGCACGCACGTTGTTAGATGAAGACACCCTTGTTCCTACCATTCTTTTGTTCTGAATCCCAATAGTTGGGTTTGTTTGAAGAGAACAGCCAAGACTCCTTTGACTACTGCAGCCTGAGCAGGGCCAGTGCCCCCCAGCCCCCCCAGCAGCGAGTGCTGCCCCGGCCGGGGCCGGGAGGGTTTGGTGGCTGTTCAGTTCCCAGCACTTTACTCCCTTGCAGCTCTCGGATCCTTTGCAGCTCTGAGCAACCAGCACATACCAGTACTGTATATCGGGCTCCTGGCGTCGCACAGCCCCTTCTGGTTCCTTGTTCATTTTGCACTGGACCCCGCCATATATCTTCTATTTTGGGGGCTTTTTTTTGTTTGTTT